GGTCAGCGGGTGTTGCAGTTGAACAGTCCACAAGTCGTCAAATAAAGCACAGTCATCCATAATAAAGCATGCCTCACACAGCTCCGGGGGGTGAATCAATGCCTCCTGTAGCGAATCCATGTGTTTTTGTAAGAAAAATATCCATATTTCAAACTTAATAAACACTTTTCTCTCACTTCTGCTGATTGTCGTATACTAGGGTGACCATACGTCCTCTTTTCCTCGGACATGTCCTCTTTATGAACCTACAAAAATGCATCCGACCGGGATTTCTTAATTGCCCAAAATGTCCGGGATTTGGCTGTTTTCTTAATCTTGCGTGTGTAAAGGGAACACATCTTACAAGATCAGATATTTGTCAATGAGCTCAGCATCTGCTGAGCAGCAAATACTCCAGCATGGTCTTGTCAGTCATCTCTCCTTATTCTCGACCTGTGATCAGTCAAAGCTGACTCCTGCAGCTCTTGTTGGATGCAGGGTTGCCAAGTCCACGTTTTTCCACAGAATTGGGCTCCTTTTAAACTGTTGCCATGGGTTGATTTTCCCAAATGGGTTAAAGGTTTGAAATATTGCATAAATTACATTTGACTGAAATGCTTGTATTGAAACATTTTGCATTCTACCTATGATAAAACTTTCATGGACTTCTACATTAACTGTTCCCTCCTGGTGGAATGACCTGCCCAGCTCAATCCAAGCAGCTGAGTCCTTAATATTTTCAAGAAACGGCTGAAAACACACCTCTTTCATCTTCATTTGACCCTCTAACTTTAGCACTCACTATTCTAATGCTACTTCTAATTTTATCTCCTTTTTTTTATTAAAAAACTTGACCCTTGTTTTATTTATAAAGAAAGAAGAGCCTCTAACACTAGCATTCTCTATTCTTTCTACTTATTTTATTTTTATTTATTATAAAGTGACCTTCTAACACTTGCATTTTTGCAACATTATCTATTCTTTTTCTGTTCTATTGACTTGCTTTATTCTTATTCACTAATGACCCTCTAACACTAGCATTCCCTATTCTTTTTCTATTCTTTCTACTTGTTTTCTGTTTATTTATTATAAAAACAAAATAAACAAACAAACAAAAAAAAAAAAAAAACCCCTTGCTACGTATACCGTTAGGCGAAGCCCCGCCCATGAATCCCGCCCCCTCACTGTCCTCTTTTTGAAAAACTAAAATATGGTCACCCTATCGTATACGCGGAAGGCGTTCCAGCGGATGACGTAGGACGTATGCGTCACGCGCGCGCCTCTGAGATATGCTAGTCTCACGAGTGTGTTTACAGGAGCAAAGGAAGCAAAGTTTCCTTACTTTAGCAAAGGAAAACCAGTCGTCTCTTGGATTATATCGAAATCCTCCGACATTTTTCTTTACAAAATGAACGGTTTGTACTTCTAATTCGTGACCGGCATTTTGTTTTGTTCTCGCTCAGCATTCGTCACTAATCATGCAACGCCGACGTCCTATGTCATCCGCCGGGACAACTTATGCTTTTGACAGTTAGATGAAGTGTGAGAAAAGTGTTTATTATGTTTGAAATATGGATATTTTTCTTACAAAAACGCATGGATTCGCTACAGGAGGCCTTTATTCACCCCCCGGAGCCGTGTGAGGCACGTTTTATTATGGATGCATGCGCTTTATTCGACATCTTTTGGACTGTTGAACAGAAACACCCGCCCACTGCAATGATAGAGCTTGGAAGAGCCAGGACAATTTTTAATATAATTCCGACTGTATACGTCTGAAAGAAGAAAGTCATATACACCTAGGATGCCTCGAGGGTGAGTAAAACCACAGGCTAATTTTCATTTTTGGGAAAATTATGTCCTTTCATTGCAAGGACAGAAAAAAAACTGAAACATCATTAAAAATATCTTCATTTCTTTTATTGTCTTTCTGCAGATGAAAGAAAGTCATACAGGTGACATGAGGGGAAGTAAATTATGACAGAATTTCCCTTTTTGCATGCATCTAAAACGATCACTTTAATCTCATGTCTACCTAGACCAACCTGAAACATTCACACTACGTATCATTTATTGTCCACGTGTGACACAGATCGAGACTCGAGCTGGTCTGAAGTCAGCGAGCAGATGCATTTCGGTGTTTGAGAATGCTGTTGAAAGAATGAAAAGGCTTTTCATGAAATACCTCTCTCATCAAATTAGCCTTGAGATTCGGGAGGCAGGCCGACTCAATTTCATTAAAGCCTTTGAGAGTTGTGCACTTGTGTGTATGACGATGGTTGTAAGAAAAGCTCATTCATTAAAGAATGATGGAGAGCATGATTTCTGTGCATTTGGATGATAGAGTTAACGCTCAGGTCAGATCTGATTCAGAAAACCCTGTGAGAACCCAACATAACAAGAGCCTACAACAACCAAATTTTACATCAGTCTATATGTCACAATTTACTATTACTATTACTACTATTTAGCTATTTTTACTGGGAATGCAAAGCAAAAATGGCTTCTATATTAAATAATAACACATATATATATATATATATACATATACATATACATATATATATATATATACATATACATATACATATATATATATATATATATATATATAATCCAGTAAATTAAACAGTAAAACATACATCATTTCAACATTTCGCATGATTATTTACTTTGTATTAGGAACTTGGACACAAAAAATATTCTTAAACATTTATTATTAATAATTCATATGAATTATTAATTCATAATGATCATATCAGATGTCTTTTTCATAACAAGGTTTTCCTCATCTTGATTAAGGACAGACATTATTCCATGGCTCTTCACCACTCTCACATGTAAATAACATAAAGCAGGCCTGCACACTCATAGCGTTTTCTAGAAAAACAGTATAGTCGTCATACTGCCTCGCGGGTTCACAATGAAACAAACAGATCCAGCCAGAAGAGTCTTGATGGAACTCATTATGTGTCTCATACACAAAGCTGCTCCCTCAAAGCAACTATTTCTCCTCGTCTGCTTTGCTTTTTCCTTCTATTTCATCTGCTCCATCCATCAGTTTCTGAAACAACAACTCTTTTTCAACTCTTAAATATCACACAGGATTCCTCATCTATTTCCCACAATCCCTCAGCTCCCTCCCATGTCTTCCTGTCGGCAGTGTCAGGGCATCTCTGATTTAGACCTAGTCGCTCAACCGCTGCCCTGTGCAAATAATTTATCCCACACAATTTGTGCTATGGATATGAATGATTCCTCAAGTCATGTGAATAGGAGAGGCGTGTTATTTAGGGCTGAACAATTAAGCAAAATAAAAATGAAATCGCAATATGGCTTGATTACCAGATCGCAAAGGGTGTGATGTATTTAAATAAATATATACGCTGTGTGTTTCATTCAGAGTGATGTGCTGCACGGTGTTCATTTACACATGAGCATCTCATGATCCAGTGTCTTCAGTGTTTCAGATCAGCTCACAGTAAACTCTGCACCACTTGAACTCATATTTACATGTGCTTATAATGTGTATTTGAAATTGCAACATGCACTAAACTTCTCAAATTTGCATTGAGAAGCACTTATAAACCGGCTGTTGTCAACAAAAGAGAAGCTTTAAAGGCACAGAGCGGTTTTCTGTCAAAGTAAAAGCATGATGGTTTAACATTTGAAAATGAAGAAATTAAGACAGCCATACATATTAAAATATACTTATGCAATATTAGCATTGTTTTTATTTAGAAAATAAAGTAGCTATAACAACATACAATAACAATAAGTATTATTATTATTATTATTATATAGTCATATTTAAATATATTTAAAAATCACAACATTTTCTGGCCAAATTGTGCAAACAACATTGAGCTTTTTGTTTTTGTTCTTTTTTAAAATCACATAAAAAAAAAAACAATCACAGAAATCTCAATTGTTATTAAGTAGATGAAAAATGGGGGAAAAAAGTGCAGCCCTAATGCTATTATTTTTCTAAATAATTAGACCTTGATTTTTGCCCAGCAGACAAAAAAAGTTGGGACCTCACCTGAGCCATATCTAGTGACTGGAGTATCTTGAAGTTGGACTTTTTTGACCAATAGACAACAACTCAGAGAAGCCTAGCAACCACCCAGAACCATTACTGTTGGCAGAATTGGACAGGAAGTTCCCTCAACACAGTTAACACAAGTTAAGTAACTCAAATGCTCACATCAGTGTCTGCGCATTTGCAAACATGTGAGCAACAGGAGAAATAAAAACACAGACTACAGCAGAGCCCTTCATGTTTGAAGTTACTACTGACTCCAGCGTTCTGGTCTGTAAGAGTCAGCAGCACTTCCCAAAATACACTATGAACTCACCGCCAAATATATCCGACACAATGCGAGTGTGACTGTTCTAAAGTTCTACGTTAATAACATATCTGCTCACATGGCCGTCCCCTCATCCCATCTGAGAGATTACGGTCAGAGCATTAGTGGGCCAGTAGGTAAACAGGAAGATCAAACTCACAAGAGCAGCTCAATCAATGGGGCTCTTTGACTCCTGGCCGAGACATCGATTTATCCCTCTAGACCACCTTGAGAATGTTTGTGTATGTGTTTGTCAGCAAGAGTCAGATGGAGAAAAAGAACAGAGGACAAAGGCCAGATCTATGGATGTATTTCACATTGAGAGAGCGAAAAAAAGCACGCAAACATAATATATGACACCATGAGATTTCTTGTTGCAAAAGATTATGCCGAGTTCACACTGCACGATTTTAGCCCCGATTTTCACTCGCAGACAGGTTTTGCGAAATCGAAAATAGGTGCTCGTTCGGCATTAAATTTCGGCATCTGTAATATTCATCTCATGCTAGTCCACCTTACACAACATACAAACAGCTCAAATCGAAATCAACTGTCAATGCAAATTCACGTGAACAATTTCAAACCAATGCAAAATCTGCATGGGGAAGTCTTTCGTCCTCAAGCGAAATTCCCGACTGTGCACATTCCTATTGAAATGACTCGATTTAGACCATGAAAATTCGCCGAACACCAGTAAATGTGAGCGTAAGTTTAGTCTTATTTGGCTAACTGTATGTTTGCTGAGCTTTTGTCTCAATGGGCTTAAATTTATGTGAAAGTACAGTCCATTTTGCATTAATTGAAAAGTCAACATTATAAATTATGGAAGTCAGTTTCCGCAACAGAATTAAAAATAAAAAAGGTAATTGCGACTTTTTATCTTAGAATTCTGAATTTTTTTCCTCGCAATTCTGAGTTTACATCTTACAATTGCAAGTTTACATCTCACAATTTTGACTTGCAATTGCAAATTTATCTCTCGCAATTCTGACTTCTTGCAATATGCTTTATAAACTCGCAAATTGCAAATTAGCATCTCAAGCTCATATTTTGTAATTATGAGTTTATATCTTGCAGTTTTCTGTCAGAATTGCAAGAAAAAAAATTCATAACTAACATAAAAATTTGTAATTTATTTATTTATTTTTTATTCTGTAGAGGAAACAGGCTTCTATAGAAAATATATATTTCTCCTAATTTTAAGTGGACATAGAAACTATGGTTTCTCAAAGTTAGACATGGACAGTCTGAGATCTTAATCGGACTGCATTTCTGTCTCTCACAGCCTCATTTTCACATCAAATTGAAGGTAAAGTGTGTAGTTTCTACACCACTAGTGACATCAAATAATACTGCAAAAATTAAAGGGTTAGTTCACCCAAAAATTACAATTCTGTTATTAATTACTCACCGTGTGGAACGACATGAGGGTGAGTAATTAATGACAGAATTTTCATTTTTGGGTGAACTAACCCTTTAAGACTTTAAAAACAGAGTTTCCAAATGGGTTTTCATGCTTCCCTTCCATCTTTGACTTCCATTATTAGGGGAAAACAGTGATTCAAAATCGGTTGAGACAAAGTTGACAGGCCTCAAAAAGCAGATCAATGTTTCCTTGGCAGTTCTTCCTGCACATTAAACTGAGCATTTTCACGCCCTAAATAATTACAAGCATCACCTTTAAACATGGTGTCTAGCCTGACTAACATTGGTGACGGGACACAACAAGGCATCGCTAGCAGCAGCTAGGGAACTGCACATTCGGCAGGATTCCAGATGGTTAGCTGACTCACGGCGTGACTGACTTTCATGTCTCACAATTTTTTGTCTTCTTTTCTGCCTGTAGTTGGGGACACATTCACCCTTAAATTAGACTAGTCTTTCATACAGTCCATCAACTAATTACTTGTAAAAACATGGAGTTCAGCCCATCCTGACCCACTCTCTCGCTCTCTTTTGGACATCTTTTCACTCCATAACACTAACACACAGCAAAATAGCCTCTGCAGCAGATTACAATTGCACTGCAATTTTTGTCTTCAGCTCCCTTGTGAGGGCGTGCCACTGTCAAATATCTTCTTAAAACACCTGTAAGCATGTACAAACACATACAAGCACAAGACGTGCATAAATTCCAAACGCAGCGGTTTTAACACGACTCCCTCCCCTGTTCTGAAACAGCCCGCAATCCCTTTTAAGAGAAGACAAGGAGAGAAAAAACAGGAAAAAGAGAAAATCAGCACAGTTATGACTTCCAGCTGTGGGAACGACTGGCCCGCGAGCAGGAAGTCCAAAGGAAACGCCTTCTTCACATCCCGCTCCTGTGTTCGTTCTTCAAAAATGGGGAGAATTCACTCTCTTTTTCTGCGGCCTGTTTTATTAGTTTATTTTTCAGGATACGTGTGTGTTTTAGGCAGTGCCTTACCTCATATCTTCCAATAAATCACATTCCGTCTGGTGTTTGAGGTGCAGGCGGCCGAGCTGCTCCGTATGCGTGTTCTTCAGTTCCTGTGTCACTTTTACCTGAAGAGCAGAAGACATCATTAGAGGTGAGGAAGAGGATGGCGCGTGCCAGCTGCACAAACACACACAATGTCCCACATGAGCTCATTATTGTGTTTCCAGCTCCAGTCAACTGTACGAGACACGATGACAAATTTACAATCCTTCCAAACAACAAGAGCAGAATTCCCACTAATCAAAGCAGCAGACGGACACAGTTTTATGTTTGATTCCTTCTATAAAAAATACAGAATGTCACTCCACTGTCACAAGCATAATTAAAGCTCAAGTGGGTCATTTTTGGATGTTAAAACTTTTTCCTGTCACAGTTTGGCATGCTGTCATTCAAAACATTGGCTCAACCAATGGCGTGAGTTTGGGGGCGGGACAATCTGACCAGCAGTGTTCAGGGAACCTGTTTGAAAATAGTCTTTTTTTTGACACTCGCTACCTGAAATGAACACACTTTAGCTTTGAACAATTCTATATTACACAATATAACGCTGCTCATCTTATAGTTTAGACTAATATAGATAGATATAGTTCTATAATAGTCTAACCCATAATGCTGGGTACACACTAAAAGATTTTTTAAAATCTTATAAGATCTTTAAAATGTGAGAGACCACAAACATGAGGACAAAAAATCCTAGATTTAACCGTTTTGCTCCTATAGTGTGTGCTGTGCCGCGATGTTCCCCCCACACATCAGGATTTCTGATTGTGGGGGGACATGTTGAATATTTACGATTCGCGATCGGGGTGCCTCTGATGTTCTTCCAAGCAGATTCAGTCACTCTTAACACACCTCACACCACAGGAAAATCTGATAAGATAATCTTTAGAATCAATTATCCAAATCTGTTCTGATGAAGAAACAAACTCTTCTATATTATGGATGGCCCGAGGGTGAGTAAATTCTCAGTTTACTATTTTCTTAAATGCACTTAAAACAATCAAGAGGAACACAATCTCCTCAATGTCTGCATTCAATCACAGGTACTGGTACCTGAACCAAACATGGCTACAAAGAAGGTGCGATACTCAGCTGCCCCACACAGGCAAGTAAAACCCAATGGGACCAGACCAATGAGCCCGGGCAGGTTGACTAATATCTGGGGAGAAACTGTTAATTACAACAGAAGTTCTCCACTTGGCAGGTGAGGAGATAATTGGTTCTGTAACAACTCCCAAAAGGTTAAAGGCAAGGAGAACGGAAAATAATACAGAATGCTCCGCATCCAACTCTACCAGCATCGGCAGGACACAACGTTACACCATAAAACACATGGTTTGTCAAGCGGCTGCACGGCTCTCGTCAACACTTTGAGCTGTACAGGTGAAGCATTATTACTCCGAGATGGAGGAAACACTCACAGCAGCATTTGCGTCAGAGGAAAACAACAAAACAGCACATTTTCCAGGCATTTACTCAGGTCTTTATGGAAATATCCACACTGATGCCAGACACAGATCAGATATTTGGTATGAAAGACACATTTTCTGTCTGACCAGCACATGCACCTTTTAGTCTCACATTTAACCTCTGATTTACACAAACCATTTACTGGAGGCTATCCTGTGTCCTGCATATCTATAGAAAGAGCTAGGCATCATTTATTGCCCATTCAAAAGAGAGGAAACATTATCAGGGTGAACACGACCAGAGCAAACGCATCTTTGTTTAATATTTGCATTTTAAAACGTCGTTTAGCGAAAATAAAGAGGGTTATTGTGGGGTAAACGTGTGCTACATGCTATCTGCCTCCCTTCTTTCTCTTCACAAGACAAAGCAATTGCAAAAAGTCAGACGTCACCTTTAAGGATTTTACACTCTGATGCAATGCTCTGATGATTAGAATGCATAAATGTGTGCGGAATGATGGGAATACAATGGTTTAGCGTGGTAATATTTCACATTCCTCCATACAGCCTGTGGGACACGAGTTTGAAACCCAACACCTCTGCTGTCACCTCTGAGGGAGACAGTAAAACCTCTTTCTGTAGGATATATGAATTTAAACGCATTTTCTCACATGTGCATGACATTTGGACACATTTAAGCCAGATGTGTAACAAAATGTCAGACTGTAGGGTGAGAGAAATGATCGGTGATCCGTCTATTTGACAAAAGCGTGGTGACTCGGTCCAATCTGAGGAAAAACACACACAACAAGACGACTCTCATGGCTGCACGGTTTAACCGTTATCTGAGAACAAGCCAGCCTGAAACACTCATCTATCATCGCTAGAAAAATATCGGATGAATTTCGGGATTATTTGCAACCGCTGCTGCTTTAAAAACAACAATAAAAACAGCACCGCTCGAGAAAACTCTTGAACGTTGTTTCCGTTACATATAAAAACGGATACATTATTTCAAAACAAACCGCGGCTGGATACAAAGTTGCAACTTCGGGACAATGTAACAAATCACATTTAAAAAAACACGTTGTTCCAACGCTGGTTTCTTACCTTTCTTGGCGGAGGCTGCATGTTTGAACATTGGCACAAATGAAGTAAAATCCCAAAGAAATGCTTCCCAGAGCGATCGGGATGGATGATTGAGAAAAGGGGATCAGACTGGGATTTGGATCTGAATTCAGACGGCCATGATGAAGCAGATCCAGTCGGGCAGACGCTCAACAAACACTGCGGATCAGGGAAGAAAGTAATGAAAGAGAGAATATGCCTCCAAAGATGAGTCTCCAACCGTGAAATCCAGCCCAACAGCGCCCCGGATCGGACACACCGAACCCCGCTGGACGAACCCTACTACGGGGAAGGCTTAGCTCATGAATATTAATTACGTAACGGCACGTTCGCTCACTAGGCGAACCCGATTGGCTTAAGATGGCGCGTGGGCAATGGTCAGCTGGTTATTTGAATATTAATGAAGTTATGTGATTGGACAGTTCAAGAATGCGCCAACGGCGAATGGAGTTCATTACTATTCACTAACTAGGCCTTTGCCATAGTAAAGTTCGTACATTTCGCAATCCTAATCATTCTTTATCCAGAGGATGAAAACAAAACAAATTTTGATTTACTTTCGACAGAGTTGCAAAATTAATTATCGACTGTAGAATTTGGTAGAAAATAGATATCAAATGCATAAAATAATTATTCGAACAGTTCTGGAATGTCTAACGCATCTGTAGCATCGACATCTAAAGCCACAAAATCTGCAGGGCTGAACATGAGGCTACACCTTCAAAGATTTATTAGATGTTTCTTGGAATGTGTCATAAAGGTCCTTAAACTTAAAAATTCACTGGATGTGACACAATGATGCATAACAATAATCAGATCTAAGAATCTCATAAAATGGATTCTAATACCTCCTATTTATTTCTAACAGACAGTGATTTTATTCTTTTGATTTTTTCCCCACAATGTAAATCTCTCTGAATAGGCTGGGGCTAGTTGTCACAATGAAGAAATTAATGAAAGAACAGTCAAAACTACTACTCAGACTCTATTATGACTATTTTCTACATGTTAGCGTGATGAAAAACCTGAAATAACTCCAGTGGAAGTCTGAGAATTATATAAAGATCAAAATGCGCGACACAAATGAAATCTCTCTTCTATTTGAGCTTCTTCTTTGCCAGTTCTGTGCACTTTGGACATCAGCTGACTATATGAGGTGCATCCTGGGACACTTTTGAAGCATCTATTGATTGTAGGCCTATCCTTAACACTCGTCTGATCATCCTCATATTTTATTTTATTTTATTTTTTAAAGAAATGTATACATAATCTGCCACTTAAGTTTGTACATTTTAAGGTTTTTAAGATCATGAGAAACATAAATTCAGTCAAGTGTGCCCAAACATTTGTTGTACGTGCAGAGACTGACCACATAAAGTTTAGCTCAGGTTCATAACTCCGCTTACTAAGGGTAATAATTAATACAGTATTGTGAGGCAAGTAAGACAGCAACTGAACACTTTGACGTTCTTTCTTTCCTTCACAGTAACAGAGTCACAGAGGAAGGATGGCGGACCTCGTGTAAATCTGACGAAGCCTGTTTTGTCCTTGTATTGGAACTGTGAAGGTCTCAGATGAATTCAAACTGAGAGGAACAGAGGAACAGGTCAGTACAAAGCTTTGCTGTTTTTTTTGCATTCAGTTCATTAGGTTTTGTCAGTGTGTCAAATATTTTGTTGTATTTGTACTATAAAAACAGTTTGTCAGGAAACCAAGCAACATGCCTCATGTGTTAACATCTAAACTATGGTTTTATTCAGGCTACTGTATATCCCATATGAAATCAGCCTGATTACTTTAGATAACGTATTTGAAGAACATAACAAAAAGTATCATTTAAAACAGAATGATCAACAGCACAATACTAAGAATCCTTTTTTTCAAAGAAAATTGCTATATATTTTAGAACATATATTCCCTGAACGAATGAATTTCCAGTTTCTTTTGGGTTGTGTGAAATTCTCTTCACTGTACTGTTGGGCAAGACGTTAATTATTGATAATTAGCATACGCCTTTCTCCTTTGCCAAACTCTGCAGGGTTCTCGCCAAGGGCACTATTCTGAAACATGTTAAAATGCAAAGCATGGTGTTTTTTTTCAGTGTTATTGATTTGAATAGATTACTGAAACATAATCTTGATAAACAGATGGGATTTCAGTTGTAACCTTAAAGAAATAGTTCACCCAACAATGAAAATCTTTTGGAAATCACCCTCAGGCCATCCAAGATGTAGATGAGTTTGTTTCATCATCTGAATCAACATTGACTTATATGAATCAACACTGACGGAAAATTATAAGTTTGTGCTGGAATGACTAGGCAGGAGCAACCATCAGGAACTCTAAAATAAACTTGGTTACAGGAAATATGGCACTGATAACAACAACGTTATGAGTTAAAGGAAAAGTTCAGCCCAAAATGAAAATTTGCTGAAAATACTCACCCTCAGGCCATCCAAGATGTAGATGAGTTTGTTTCTTCATCAGAACAGATTTAGAGAAATGTAGCATTGCATCACTTGCTCACCAATGGATCCTCTGCAGTGAATGGGGGCCGTCAGAATGAGAGTCCAAACAGCTGATAAAAACATCACAATAATCCACAAGTAATCCACACCACTCCAGTCCATCAGTTAACATCTTGAGAAGTCAAAAGCTGCTTGTTTATAAATAACAAATCATTAAGAGTTTTTTTTTTTACTTCAAACAGCTGCTTCCTAAAAATGAGTCCATAATCCATACTATTGCTTCCTCCAGTGAAAAGGATGTCTCATCTGAATTGAAGTATTGAGAAATATTGAGAAATATTCACAGATTAAACACCATTTAGAAGCGAAACACAGCTATTTGGACTCTCATTCTGACGGCACCCATTCACAGCAGAGGATCCATTGGTGAGCAAGTGAAGTAATGCTAACTTTCTCCAAATTTGTTCCCATGAACAAACAAGCTCATCTATTTTTTGAGTTAGCCTGAGGGTGAGTACATCTTAAGCACGTTTTAATTTTTGTGTGAACTATTCCTTTAAAGTGACTGTTATAAACCTTCCTCCCAGCAGTCATGCTGTGTGAGGCTTCCAGAATGATTGACATATTATTTATTGGCTGACGCTGTGGCCTATAAGAGCAGGCTGAGGCATGTAAACACACCCACAGCGGATATATGCAGAATAAACAGGCAGAGGTAAAGCAGGTCTATGTAGGTATGCAAACTGAAAGGAGGCACATCTGTTGCTGAAGGAGCCACTGAAAGTATCTGTGTGAGTTGCTTTTAATTTTGCATGATTCTTTAACATCAGTATAACATGCATTACTATTTGTATCATTAAGTTTTTTAATGAGCTTGCACTGTAAAATGATTGTCAATATAAAAAAAAAATAAAAAATCAATCCAAAGAGAGAGCAACTAAATTATGCAATTCATAAAAGTCACAATCTGTCTGCTTAACATAAAACTGTTGAGATGTCTAATAGCTTTTGTTCAGTAGTTTGTTACATCAAATGTCATTAGACGCAGATATGATCTATAACAAACATTGAACGACGTTCTGAGGAAATTCTAAGTGAGTTCTCAGCTACTTTATGGCTTTATTCAGTGCATTGATCGATATGTGTTGGTCTGTGTCATTAATGAAAGCACAGTAAGGGGTGTGTGATGACCAGAACAAGCATTTAGTGCAACTTTAAAAGCTCATTTTCTGCATTGGGCTTTGAAAAACAACTGGAAACACTTGTATGCTGATTGATATATACTAGCTAATGCATGCTGTTGTTTTTTTTGTTTTTTTTTACAAAATGTCTATCAAAATTCTAACTTAAATGCACAACTAGGTTTATAAATTTATCAATAAATCCATGAATCAATCTCATTAATTTTAACTTATTAAATATTGCTTGTTTGACAGATTTTATGTACACTGAACAAAATTATAAACGCAACCAAAGGAGAAGTGCTCACTAACACAGATTTAGACAGATTTGTGAACAATATTTGAGAGAAATAGGCCTTTTGTGTACATAGAAAAAGTCTTAGATCTTTGAGTTCAGCTCATGAAAAATGGGGGCAAAAACAAAAGTGTTGCATTTATATTTTTGTTCAGTGTATATAATTTGTATACATTGTCCCCTCAGTCCTGAATTTCACATCTTATTCTTCAGATATGATTGATTTCATTGTCTTTCTCTCTGACAGATCTGAATCAGAATGGCAATATTTAACAACACAACCACAACTAACATCAGCGATCGTTATCACTGTAAGATAGAAGAACACTTCAAGTACATTCTCCTCCCGGTGAGTTACTCTCTGGTGTTTGTGTTCGGTCTGGGGTTGAACATCACGGCCATGTACGTCATCTTGTTCCGAACCAAACACTGGAAGCCCAGCACCATCTACATGATCAACCTCAACGTCTGCGACACGCTTTACGTCCTCACTCTGCCGTTCCTCATCTACTATTACGCTGATAAGAACGACTGGCCGTTCGGTGAGCTGATGTGTAAGCTGATTCGCTTTCTCTTCTACACAAACCTCTACGGGAGCATCCTCTTCCTCAGCTGCATCAGTCTGCACCGGTTTTTAGGCGTCTGTCATCCAGTGCGCTCTTTGTACTGGATGAACGGCCGTCGCGCTCGTTTGGTTTCTGTGGGAATATGGGTGATCATTCTCATCTTACAGGCACCCATTCTTTATTTCTCCAGGATGAATAATAACAGTGACATGAAACCACAATCAACGGTTTGCTATGACACCACAAGCAAGGAGCTCTTCAATGACTTTATTGTTTACAGCTCGGTGGTGATGTTCCTGCTTTTTGTCATACCTTTTGGGGTGGTGCTGGTCTGCAACGGCCTGATGGTGAAGAAACTTCAGGAACCCGGTATTGGTGGAGGTCCAAAGTCACAGCGCTTTAAGCAGAAGTCGGTGAAGATGATCATAATTGTGCTTCTGGCTTTCATGTTGTGCTTCTTGCCTTTCCACGTGAACCGCAGTATATACTACACCTTCCGTTACCTGGACAAACATGTGAGCTGCTCGATGCTGGAGGCTGCCAGCATGGCCTACAAGGTCACGCGACCTTTGGCCAGTGCCAACAGCTGCATCGACCCCATCCTTTACTTCATGGCAGGACAGGGCTTCAGAAGCAGCATCAAGAACAAGAGAAGTAAATCAAGATCTGAAAATAGGAAATCACCCTCAACCTCTTTATAGTGTGCTTGAAGGAAAACGAAATGTAATGTAAAATGTTTTTGAATGTTGATGAAATGTCTGAATACAAAAAACAAATCTTAAAAGTAGCTCCTAATAAGGAACCATTTGGTGTTGTATAAATAGAAGGACCTTGTAAAATTTTATAGAACG